GGAAGTGCTGGAGCCTGCTTGAGAGGACGCTTCTCTAGAAACATATCAAGAGCCGCTCCGTGCTCAGAAACGTTGATCCCCGGGTTGCCGAACAAGATGCTCCCCTAAGGGAGCACAGGTATTCATACACTGAAGCTTCTTCGAAAGGCAGCAGATCAACATCCGGATGCATTGACTTTGCCCATCTTACATAGGGGGCCAAAGATGATACCCTGGTTTTCAAGGTGCTTGTCGCTTTTCCTCTCAGTGCATCTGATACGATTGTGAAGGATCTGTCAGCTTTGCCATCCTTATGAACATCTGCAAGGAGCTGAAGCCCTAAAGTGGACTGTTGAGGTTCCAACAAAACTAACTCAACCCACTTCAGCAAAACCCAATCTCTGTTGTGGTCTCTGTTTGTACCATAGGTGGCTCTATGGCAAGTTTCCTGAATCAACGCCGTCGCCTTGGATAGATCGGTCAGCTGTGGTGAAGTTGGAGCATCCACAAAAGGCATGTTACGAGGGACTGCCAATGGTTTGATCCATGGAGCTGGGGGCTCCACCGAAAATTTGCTTCATGGCACCAGTGAGTTCCCAAGGCATCATGGTTGGGTGGATAAATGTTCCCATGGCAGTCGATCCAGCTAAGCTAACATCAACATTACGAGTATGATGAAGAGGTTGCTCTTCAGGATTCTCACTAAATCCCCTCTTCATCACTCTATCAACATTGTAGGGCCATAGCCCTTGCCCTCCGCACCCTCCCTTGACTGAGCATTGGCCGCCAATATGCATACTCAGATTGGCTCTTTCACTGTTACTCGAAACAAAGTGTCATGAACATCCGTTCAAAACACATCATAAATATGTATAATATGTCGTGAAAGTCATCAAAATCCCAAAGATTTACATGTTTTTATAACAAAAAGAAGCCCCAAATCAATGTTCTTGAGTCCAGGCAACTCTTAGACTTCGCTTTCTCGCGCCGTGCAACATGCCACGTGAGGAGATTTTCAAAGGGCGTGCCCACTGCGGCCAGGAAGACCCCAGAGCCACATGCGGCCATGGCCCAAGCATAGAGATCCCGATCTCCAGAATCATCCACATGGTGCCGCACATAGGTGGTGGTCTTCTGCTTGAAATACTCGTAGCTGGTGAAGAAGCCAATCAAACTACAGACCTCCTGCGCCACCACGAAGGGATAGTTTTGAAAACATCCTTTCAGCCCAGCACGAACGTGAAGCTCCCTCAATCGCTTGAATAAGCCCCGATGTCCCCCGATGTTCATGGCGGCAATCTGATCGTCCCGACCCAAGCGCACATTGTAGAGGGGCGTATGGAGAGTGGCTTGCACTGAACCTGTTCATGGGAGGGCAGATCAGGAAGTTAAAAGTTAAACACATCTGGTCTTTCTTCTGAACAACCTATTGCTACTAGTAACAAGAAGCTACTAGGTTGGAGACCATCGCTATTAGGTTGGAGGCCATCGCTACTAGTAAGAAGAAGCTACTAGTAACAAGACTGTTCCAGCAAAGCCCTCCTTTTGCTTCCCCTTTCGGCGCATGTCAGGGACCCTTTGCCTTGCGCCTGCCGTTTGGGCTCGCGCCTGCCGCCGTGGCTGCAAGGGCGTCACAGAGCAAGGGCTGCTCGTCAAGCGCTGGGTGTTCAGCCGCAAGGCCATGCAGGTAGAGCCTGGCTTTTCAAAGTTTGAGAGGTCTTCAAAAACATCGAAGGCACAGGTCTGGGTTCCACCCGAAAATGTCAAGGTCTGGGTTCAGTTTGGCTGATATGTTTGGATATGTTGGGATTCACACCCCGACAGGATTGGCAATTGAACCCAGCCCCTAACCCTATGAATGCTTGAGGTGGGACCTACTGATACTGGCGGGTGAACATCGACACAGGGCTTTGACACAAACGGATATGTCCAGAAACTATGGGCCTTCTGTACCCATAACCTGGTATGTCAGTCTATAGGAATTGAAAATAATTTGAAGGGAAATCCAAGCAAATCTGCCAAAGCATGCCAAAGCATGCCAAAGCAACAAATACAAAATGATTGCAAATCACTCAACAAGTGCAAATGCTCGCAAGGCGTGGATGCAGCAATTTATCAACAAGCCTTGAATATATCGGAATGCCCAAGCAGATCCAAGCAGTATCAAGAATCAAGAACACTGACGATTGGTCACTGACGATTGGTTGTTTCTGGACCAAACGTTGGAGAAGAACCTTCTCGTCTGTTGTTCACAACCCCTCCCCAAGTTGGATAGTTCTTCTCGCCTCACAGTAGTGTACGTGTGGAACATGGCCACGGCAATACCAGCATTCACTGCATAGGGCGCCATGGCTTTGGTGGAAAGGCCACGCACACCTCCTGCACGCGCCTCCCGCCGCAGACCCTCCATGATTCCCAGGGGATGTCGGAAGTCGTCCAAAGGGCTAAAGACCTGGTGTCGGAAGAGAAACAACGTTTGGGTTTAAAGGAAACGAAGAGAGACGATGTGTGAAGAACATCCTCTTTGTGTGACGATTCTGCGCAAATGAAGCGGAAAGCCCACAGTTGTATTATGGTTGATGATGTTCTCTTGCGAGTCATGCAGGATGTCTCGCCGTTTGGTTCACCCGCCTGGCGTCGGAAGAGCCTTGCGGGATTCTTGATGGAGGCTTCCAGGGACAAAGCAGCCTTTGCCTTGCAGAAGAACATCCCCTTCTTCAAAAGCAACAAGCCAAGCTTTCCAAAGCCCAAGACTTTCACCTTAAAGGCCAGAAGTACTTGCACCAGTGCCAGGCCACTTAGGGGTCGCAGGGCGCTGACCAACATGCGAGCGGCACCGGCCCAGGCATCTGCGATATGTTGTTTCTTTGAGACGTCCTTGGCCAGAGCCTGGGGACCACAGTTCAACCATCGGTCGGACCATCGGTATCGGTTCGACCATCGGTAGCCATGGCACCTCGATCGGGTGGATTCACCAGAACCAAGAAGAAGAGTCGAAACCCGTGTGGTCGAAAGAGGCGAAAACATCACCGTTTTGCAAGAAGAAGAAGAAGAAGAACAAAAGACCGAAAGACACATGAGGAAAAATAGGATAAACTGCCCAAGATCTATAAATCATGATAAGTCTAATCAACATCCTGCCTCCCAGTCCTTGCCACCCTTCTCCTTGATCCAACAACAGAACTCCTCGAAGGACACGGTCTCTTCAGCCCCTGATCTCCCCGCAAGCGCCACAAACAGCCTCCACCAGAAGCTGACTGGACAAAACCGACCAAAAGAGTCATTTCAACTGGGATTCTCCAAAACTCCCCACAGACTTGGTTGCCTATGTTCCCTTCTAGATTTGGGAAGTCCGCTCATTCTGCCAAAAAAAAGAACGGAACTGTATCCCACAAAAAAAGAAATCCAAATGCCTCTCCTCCTCGTACTTCAACACCAAGCAGCTCTTCCGCGTTTTCCAGCACCAAGCCCTCTGCCCGCGCCAGTGCCCGGAACTCCTCCAGGCCCAGCTCGGCGGTGCCGTCGGGGCCCACGCGCGCGTGGCGGCTGTAGACCTCCGGGACGAGGCCCAGCTGACGATCGGGAGCGGGAGGTGTTCATATGTGTTCATGCCCAGATGGAAAGGATTAAGGATAGGAGAGTGTGGAAAGTAGAGGAACAAGTAAGTGAATACCTCTTTTTCTTGCTGGAACAGTCATGGAAGTGGAAGACAAGCTGATTGTTAGAGGAAAATGGTTCCTTCAGGGATGGCTTTTTAGGGGAGCCCTGGTCGCAGGAAACTGTCGGATGGTGGATAAATTGATCAAAACTTTAATCAAAACCAGTTAATCTCACTACCACTCGTTACAAAGTTTTTTACAAAGCCATCTGCAATGGCAAAGTCAGTGTCTCATCAGGACTCGTTGCACAACCCATGAGCCCATGAGGTTACTTTTTGGCTTCCGAGAAGAAAATCGCCGAACACCTGGCCTGGCCTCATGCAGCGCAGCCAGTTGCCGGTGGGAGAACACCGAGTCATCAGCTTCGTCCATCTCATGGTCTCGTCATGGCTCGAAGACGACTGGGGTGGCTGAGGCTGCTGCGATTTTGTGGCGTGGCTTCGGCTTGAGCCAAACTCGCAGCGTCTGTTGAAAACCTGGCTGCCTGGCTGTGGTTTGCATTTGGTTGCAAAAATGTCCATTGTTCCCAAAGAAACGCGGTCCAGATTGATGATGTTGAATCCTGCCGATGGCACAATCAAAATGGCCGTGAGGCCATACCAACAAACATCCATTCAAACCAGGGTGGTGGTGGAACAGGCCATGACCGAGACCTCTCGGAGTATTTTAGTGAACCCATCAAAAGCACCGGCACCTACAGAGTGGGAAAGGGTGGAAGTACTCCAACAAGTGATCTTGAAGGTGTTGGGTACGAAATGGTACGAACCAAAAGCTACTAGTAGCAAGGTGCATCGCTACTAGTAGCCAGAAGCTACTAGTAGCTCCTGGCATTACTACTAGTAACAAGAAGCCCAGAACATCGCATGATCCTGGGTGATCATTTGTATGGATGCAAATTCCATAAATTTCATAGCCCAAACCCCACCACCCGTAGTTCCAAACCCGTCCCCCCCAAACCGGTGACCGCACCGCACCCGCCCCCGCCTGCCGCGCAGGTGCTCATCATCCAAGTCTCGGCGCATGGCCTCCAGGGCGTCGCCCAGGGAACCTGCGGCGCTGACCGAGACCGGAGCCCGCCACCATGGGGGGCCGAACCGCCGGCCGAACCGCCTGGGTGGGGCCGTGGAGGGATGTGGAGGGAGGCCGTGGAGGGCGGAGGCGTCGGAGAGCAAATGTCAGTGGGAAAAAAACATAAAAACGTTCGCTGCTTTGGGTTCCCTTCTGGTGTGCCCATTCATCGCCTGCTGATGCCAAGGTCTGGTCAGTGATTCCAGTCAGCTCCGAGCAGAACTTCGTGATTGGAGTCCTGCCACGTGACAGAAACGTGAACATCAAAATTACCTTGTACGAGAGACGTGAGAGGCCGAAAAGTCCGCTAAAAACTAAGAATCGGTCTTTTGATGCCTGACATGCATATTTAGGACTTGAAGATGCTCCCAAACTGCTCCTCTGATTCTTGCAATAGTGCTGCCTCTCGAAGGCTACCCGATTGTCCTGGCTCGCGCTCGGAGAAGTTCTTACTCGAGCGGAGATCTATGATGAATCGTCATAAACTCACTGTTCAAAGATGTTCACAGCAACTCAGGAAGTGCCAAATGCAGTCAGTCTTGATGGCAGTTTCTTTCTCCCGCACACCCTTCATCCACCTCCCAAAGACCTCCGGATGCCGCGAGACTTCTTCCGCGGCGCGAGCCGAGTCGACGCGTTCTAAGGACTACACTCCGATTCACTAACATAGGGGGGGTTCATAAAGGAAAGTAGTCTTCCAAGCGACCCATCCACGTCACCATGCGTCTGTGTTCGTCCTGTCGTGTTCGGGGTCACTGCCTTCGTCCGGGCGCGGGTCGGTCAGGGGGTCGACCTACACCGGAAGCCGCACCTGGGCGTCGTAGATCACGTAGGAGAATTCGATGATCTCCACGTCATCCGAATGCACCTGCCGCTCTCCGTCGCCTCCATCGCAGGTCCACTCGAAGTCCTCAGCGCCACGTCCATCGCAGGTCCCACCCGGATCCACGGCTCGGAGGCCTCCAAAGAACAGGTGATCCGCGACCCATCACAGCCCCAAAATCCCCCAAATGCGTTTAGGGAATATTTGGGAATTGCTTGGTGTATCGGACCCAAGTCACCGGAGCCTGCGTTGCTCTACTCCTTGAAGCTTTGCATTGACACAGTGGTCGACCACGCCCATCGAACGTCCCATCTCACCATACCAGGAGAGAGAATGATCCACTGAGCACGCTGAGTTGCGAGGCATATGAAGATCTCTGCCTGGCTTGTCTGCTTCGGCTTCGGCGCCGGTCGCCTCAGCAGAAACGATTGGGAGAATGCCAAGCTCCCTTGAATTCCCAAATAGCAATACCCAAAAATCGGCTGCCACTCCACAGTCAGGGTCACATCAAAATGCCGAGTGGATCTTCCCTCCCATATGGCCCATATATGGCCCATGTGTACTCCACACCCACTCGACGACTCTGGGCCATCCACGAAGGCTTCGCGGGCGTCGCCCTGGAGCGATGAAGCATGTACAGAAGCCCCCGATCAGCTCAAGGGGGCCAAAGAACCCCCTATCAGCTACCTTGATACCTGATGATACCTGATAACTTGGTACCTCAAGTGATGCAAAGCTTGGAGATTTGGGGTTGAACATACCAGTGCGCTGATGATCGGGTGCCACCTCAAGAATAGAAATAGATGTTGGATAATTAATGTTGGCACACTTTTTGCTGCTACTCGCAAAGGTGTAACAGGAGCAAGCCATCATAAGCACCTTGCTGCTAACTTACAGTGGACTGCAGGTCACAAATCAGGGCCAGCATGTCCTGCAGCTGTCAAGTAAGAATCGGTGACCTGATGAGCCTGTGAGATTTACTAGGGGTCAGGACTCATTCGCAAAAAAACAAAACCCACCGCGCCTCACGCCGCTCGCGGCGGTGGATGAGGCGCCGCTCGCGGACACAGTGGGGACGGCGGGCGCGGGAGTTTCCGGCAGGGCGGTAGGCCTCATCTGATGAGGCCGATGCCCGTTTCAGTGGGTGATGGATGGTGCTTTTTACCGCTGGGATCTGCTGGGTGATGGGTGGGGGCTTGGGTGGGAACCAATGTGGACTCTACGGCGCAACACGACACACCATTTTGGAAGCCCAAGGACCAGCGGGCGGGCGGGCGGACAGGGCAGGTGCTGGGCGAAGCAAGCGACAGAAAGATTGCCATGCTTCATACCTCATCCTTCAGCCTCGTCCCAGTAGCTGCAGTTATCGAGCCATGTCTGATCAGTCATGATATGATATATACAGTAATTAGCCCAGCTGGAGACCCCAATAGCAAGATACAAACCGGGACAAAAAGAACAATCTGGAAACAGCTGCTGTTTTCAACACATCGACCATCTCTTCCTTGGACACCATCATCACATAACCGGGACACCATCACAAAATGACCAGGGCACCATCAAAACATGACCGAGACACCGTCACAACACGATTGGGACACCATCACAACATAACCGGGACACCATGACAAGGTGACCGGGACACCATCAAAACATGACCGGGACACCGTCACAACATGAGCGAGACACCATCACAACATGACTGGGACACCGTCACAACATGCCTGGGACACAATCACAACATGACCGGGACACCATCACAAGGTGACCGGGACACCAACATGACATGACGGGAAAACCATCACAAAATGACCAGGACACCATCACAACATGACCGGGACACCGTCACATGACCCGGACACCATCAAAACATAACCGGCACACCGCCAAAACATGACCAGGACACCATCACAACAGACCGGGACACCATCAAAACATGACCGGGACACCGTCACAACACGACCGGGACACCATCAAAACATAACCGGGACACCCTCACAACATGACCGGGACACCATCAAAACATGACCGGGACACCATCACAACATGACCGGGACACCATCACAACATGACCGGGACACCATCAAAACACGACCGAGACACCATCACAACATGACTGGGACACAATCAAAAACATGATCGGGACACCATCACAACATGACCGCGCCACCATCACATGATCGGGACACTATCAAAACATGACCGGGACACCGTCACAACACGACCGGGACACCATCAAAACATGACCGGGACACCATCACAACATGACCGGGACACCTTCACTACATGACCGGGACACCATCACAACATGACCGGGACACCATCAAAACATGACCGGGACACCATCAAAACAGGACCGGGACACCATCACAACATGACTGGGTCACAATCAAAACATGATCGGGACACCATCAAAACATGACCGGGACACCAGCATCACATGACCCGGACGCCATCAAAACATGACCGGGACACCATCCGCCCACCAGCTCTGACGGTGACCCGACGGCGCCCGTCCGCCTATTAGTTTTGCAAGACCCCATAGCATGGCTATTGGGGAATAAATGATGCTCGTGAGTAGCTAGTAGCCTAGTGCACTTGCTAAAGGATATAGTTTGGAAAAAATACTTGGTAGCTGCATGTATAAAAGCATGGCTTGTTTAATCCTGGTTTGTGAACAGGTGCAGGTGGGCAACCGCAACATGTAATGTTCAAAGCCGGTTGTCAACAGTTGTACCCCATTGCTATGCGTCGATCGGTTCAAGATGCTATCATTCTTCTCATGAGCTGTGAAGATCAAACGATCGTAATATTGTGAGGAGGTCGTCGGTGTTCAAAGGAGTGGTCTGCCCTCACTTGCATGGGGTGCCCTAGGTTGCCCTCCAGAGATAAATTTGCTCTGCAAATAAAGCTGTCCTCATCAACTGTAGCCTGCTAACCTGCACGTTTTTATGACGGTCTGCAGCTGATACAGTAATGCACTTGACCCCTTTCTTGTTGGTTGCAGGTTTCTTGCAGCTTGAGCTTGACAAGGATCACAGGCGTAACATGTTTGTCATTATTTGATATTGTCTGGAGGTTTCACTGTGGGTCAAATGGTCACAGGCAACGCATGGCGATGCCGGCCCGGTGATGCCTTACACCTTACATCCCTGACCTTGTGTTGTCCACTTACACTTTCCGGATTGATCTCCCTGCGCAATCAGTGCAATCAATGCTTTCGTTCCTACCTATTGGTACCCAAACTAAATGCAAACATGAATGTCTATGTCAGACATCAGATCATGATGCACATATATTTGCCAAGAAATCTCTCTTGTTCGAACCAAGGCACTTCGACTTCCTTTTTCTCAGCCATCCGAGCACTGCCGCGGCCACGGCCGCAGCACCCAGCACACGGGCCACTGAGGAGAGGCTGCCCATGGCAACAACCGATGTGGACTTGTGAGATGCGAAATGCAGATCTGTCGCTGCTGAGTTG